TCTAGTACTTTAATCTAGAAGCATCATCCATCCCTCCCCCAACAAAATGTAACATCTGAGTGACAAGCTTGAGTATGTCTCAGATTTGAACCACTAAGTGACAAATCCCGTTCCATTTAATCTTCTTGCATTTTGGTTTTAGTTTCAAAGCCTTTGGGTCTTTAATTCTCAGGGATGACAAAATCTACATTGTTGCCTGCCAACTAAACTCCATTCAAGGTTCATAATACATCGTATAATATATACAAGATTAAGTTGTTAGCTTGCTTTTCTTTCAACTGTCATTCACCAAACAAATAGCATTTTGAGGAGGGAAACCTATTTTCCTCACTGAACCACGTACAATGTAGTTACCTGTATTTCTGGGATTTCACCATTTACCATATCAAAAGATGAAAAATTATCATCTGTAAACATTAGGTTCATTTCCAGTCAAACTACCTTAGTGCTTTGTTCCTCTTTTCTCCACTGTATGACTTTCTTGGGCTGTCCACAAGACTCTTACCCTAATCGCTTTTATGTCCCCTGATTTGCATTAAAACCCTTATTGATTTGTTCTTCTTGCCTTAACCTCTACCACTCTGTGTACTTACCTGCCCTTAGCAGCAACCTGATTCTGTGCCTTTATGAATGCTTGAAAAGTATATAGTACCTGAAAGGGCTGTTGTAAAGCTAATAATGATATAGACACAACTTTTAGTAATATACCTACACTAATAATGTTTTAATGTACTTCATTAAAGCAAAGCCCCTCGTAGCAGACATACAACACTTATAAAGGTACGATGGATTAAACTCACCCATATTCAGCTGAAATTAGTGCACTGAATTAGAGTATTGTATATCTCTGTCTGTACATTAACAGATGGATGGGTGATAAGGCATAAAAACTATCATTGTCCAGACCTACCAGTTTTACACTGCTTCACCAGCATACGACAAGCAGATAGATGTTCAAAGGGGACAGCAAAGAATCATGCTGTAGTTCAGAGTATAGCTTTCCCACTCCTCACGTGGGACGTCTATGTCACTCTACATCACCATAGTGACACGCTATGTCACTGAAGTGCATCGCTATGGTGACATAGGGTGATGTGGGTCTACATATGATTGGCAGCTACTTCACCATAATGGTGTGCTCTCCTGTTTGAGTGTACCACTATGGTGAAATAGTGGCAAAAACTAACCATACACCACATGCACGGCACAGTACAAGCAGTTACTGAGACGTGCTTTAGTACTTCCTTTTGGAAGCACTAAAGCACGGTGAAGTAACAATGTCACTGTAGGGCAATGTGTAGACTCTGTACAAGGGACATTAGCTGGTAGGGGTTGGGTAGAACACCCCTATTTTGCTTTGATAGGCAGTGGCTGTTGCAGTATCAAGCCAGACCAGGAATGGGGGAAGCAAAAATGTGACTCTGAATTTGAGCGCTGTATAGGTAAGCCCTAAACCAACACTGAGATTCCAGGAGAAGCTCTTGAGCAAATGCAAGGGGATGGTTAAGGAGGGTTCTTGCAATGATCTTTCCTGTGGTGGACAGCAAGGAAATCCCTCTGTAATTTCCACAGACAGACCTGTCTTTCTGAAGATTGTCATGATCATGGTGTTCCTGAGGTCACCATGATCCTTAAGATGAGGGCACAGAGCTGTGATGTAAGTTCCTCTTCCCCCTGCTTGAAGATTTCAGCAGGCATTCCATCTGTTCCAGATGCCTTGTTGTTCTTCATCTGCTTGATGTCTTTCCTCACCTCATCAAGGGTTGGAGGGATTCCAAGATCGTCTCTGACTGGGTGTTGCCGAATGGAATTGAGAATACTCTTGCCAACAACAGAGTCTCGATTGAGAAAGTCTTCAAAATGCTCTGCTGATGGCTCCCCTTTCCTTGATCAGGTCTCCTCCATCCTTAGTTCGCAAGGGGGTTGGTCTTTGAGTGCTCAGACTGTAGATGGTGGCACTAAAGAAACCACACATATCATGGATGTCAGTGAGATATTGAATTACCTTCGCTTTGTTTTTACACCATCTGTTCTTTATATCACAGGTCCTCCTTTGGACCTCTTACCATGGATTGTTGTGATCCAATTTATTTTTCTTGGAGTTGGTGTAACTCTGCTAAGCACAAAAGGTCTTGTGCTTGTAGTTGAGCAACTCTTGGATCTTTCTATCATTCTCATCAAACAAGTCTTGGTGTTTCTTGGTAGAGAATCCAAGTGTCTCTTCACAGGCAATAGTGATAGTGGATTTGAAGGCACCCCAAGTGCTGCCAACATTTTTATTGGAATTCACCAGTTTTTTGTTGAGGCATTGGTGGAAGAGGTCTTGCTTGGTTGGGTCCTTGGGTCATTTGATGTTGACCTTCCATTGCCATTCCTTCTGCTGCAGCCACTATTTGGGAGCCAGTTTGAATGACATAACTGAGAGAATCAGTCAGTGATTGGTCTGGCAATTATCAAGTGATTGAACAGTATAGCTTGAGTGATGTGGTCATCTTTGCAATCCTGGGTACAAGTGATGTAGTCACTCAAGTATCAATGCTTAGATGACAGGTGTTGCCATGATGTCTTGTACCTGCTTCTGTGGTGGAACAGGGTGTTGGTGATGGTGAGTCTATGTTCTGCACATTTGGTCAAAAGGAGGATGCCACTGTAGCTAACCATTCCTACCCCTTCCTTGCCAGTGGTTTGAGAGGTTTGAGTCCAGAGGTTTGAGTCCATTCTGACTCTGGCACTGAAATCACAGAGCAGAATAAGCCTGTCTCCCTCTGGAATGTCAGAAAGGATTTGGTCAAGTTTGGCATAGAATTCATCCTTGGTTTCATTGGTGGTATCAAGAGTTGGGACATACATGCTGATGACAGTGACTCCCTGCCAGTTTGAGACAGAGAGACATATGGTACTCATTAAATCCAATAGGGAACTCATTGAGTTGGTTTATGAGTTCATACTTAATGGCAAAGCCAACTCCATGAAGGCAGAGTTCTCTTTCCTGTTTACCCTTTAAGAGGCACAACTGACATAATCTTCTCTGCTTGCCACCTGCAGGAAGAATGCCAGGAACAAGATAAGTCTCTCTGCATGGCCTTCTTTGACCTCAGGATAGCCTTCAACTGTCAACCAAGAAGTGCTGTGGAAGATCCTTCTGAGGTCTGGATGCTGACAGAAATTCGTCACCATTCTTCACCTGCTCAGTATGCGAGCTGTGGTTCTCAGTAATGGATCTATCACAGATCCTTTTGAAGTTAAGACAGGAGTTAAGCAAGGCTGCATCATCGCTCCAACACTCTTCTTGATTTTCCTTACCATGATGCTACATTTGACCACTAATAAGCTTCCAGTCGGAGTGGAAATGAACTACCAAATGGATGGTAAATTGTTTAATCTCAGCCAACTCTGAGTCAAAACCAAGACCACTCTGATCTTAGTCATTGAGCTCCAGTATATTGATGAAGCTGTAGTGTGTGCTCATTCAGAAGCAGATCTTCAGGCAATTCTTGACGTCTTTTTTAAGGCATACAAGAAAATGGGACTGATGCTTAACATTTGGAAAGCTAAGGCCCTCCATCAACAAGCTCTTAATGAGCAGTCCGCAGCTTCAGCAATTCAGATATATGGTGAGACTCTGGAGAACATTGAGTATTTCCCTATCTCAGAAGTCCTCTCTCGCAGAAAGTTGACATCGATGAAGAAATTCAACATAGCCTCAACTGTGCAAGTGCAACCTTTGGACCTGAAGAAATTGGTGTTTGAAGTTCATGACCTCAAATTCAAAACCAAGCTCATGGTTTATCAGGCAGTTGTGATCCTTACTTTACTGTACAGAGCTGAGACATGGACAACTTACAGGAGACACCTCAAGTCACTGGAGAAATACCATCGACACTGCTTGTAGAAGATCCTTCAAATCCAGTGGGGAGACAGACACATTAACATTAGTGTCCTCTAGCAAGCAAACATCATGAGCATCAAGGCAATGATCATCTGACATCAACTTTGCTGGGCCAGTCACATCATCCAGATGTCTAACTCCAGACTCCTGAAGCAAGTTTTATTTTCCCAGCTCAGTCAAGGCCTATGCTCAAGAGGAGGGCAGAGAAAGCACCTTAAGGATGTCCCCAAGGCCAACTTAAAAATATGCAACATCAATTCATGGGATACTATTGCCCAGAACTGGAGGAAGGATGCTGCAAGGACTTTGAAACCTCATGATGACAACAGGTGATACAAAACCAGGAGCGGCAAACAGTATCACAGACTGAACCAAGAATCCAGAGTCACCCACCCTGCATGGAAACACATGCCCAAGTTGAAATAGAACCTGCTGATCCCAGATTGGCCTTGTCAGCTGTCTTTGGACCCACAGATAAGGCAATCATGGAAGACAATCATCCTCGACTGCAAGGGACTTTGGTTGATGATAGGTAAGCACCAGCTCCAGTGAGACTACTTGTGAAATAAGGTGCTAATTAAGTGGAGTCAGGAATCTGGTTTTCTGATTACTTGGAAATTTACTGTTTGTAAAATGTTTCCTCCTCTGTTTGGAACCTGAAGGACTATTTCTATAGCTGATGCAAAGTGACCTCAATGGAATTGGACCAATTTAAACCACTTGATAATCTGGCCTCATGCTAATAACTGATAACAGGAATCCTGCAGTAGTATAAACAGTCTAAATTATTAAGTGAAACAGGAATCATATTCTAGATCATGAAATTGGTGAAGCTTATTGGTAAAGGTGGGCTAAATGTATTTATATTTATTCAGACTCACTTTATGCTGCTTACCTCTGTAAAAAATCGACACAACTATGCATTTGCCCACTTGTGTAATCAGACCACACCACAATAACAGCATGACTGGACAAGCCAATAGTTGTTTGAATTTTTCCTTTGCAGAAAAATCCTCCTGCTCCATTTCATTGCTTCATGAGAACAAGATTAACATTCAGCATTGCTTACTGGAACATTTTCAGTGGATTGTCATATATGCCATTTACTAACCATTCACCTGAAGGATGTGGGTCTGATATAGCTCTTCATAGCCGTAGGCATGACAGGTGTAATTGCCCATGTGAATAGTTGTTACCTTGGTGATGTAGAGGGAATCATCTTCTCCAAAATCCTGTATGTAACAAAAGACAAGAAAGAGGCCTTATCATTTAGCAAATTTAGTTTAGACATCACACAAGGGCAGGACACCTTTTCAGTTGTTTTGATAGCATCTCAACTTGGCAACACAGCATGAATTTTGAATAGCAAGTTTTAGAGTTCATAAATCATCAGGCAGGAGGAAATGAGTGGCAACGTAAGAGTAAGGTGATGCAACTAAAGTAACTCAATTGAGAATGTGAATTTTTCCTCTGGTTAACAAGGCGCTATATGCATATAAAAAGATGCCAGTCCCCTGCTGTCTAATTTATGGGGGAAGTTAATACCTGCCTGTGAACTCAGGTGATACAGCAAGGTCTAATTTTCGGGTGGGTTAAAGATTGTTTTAATCTATTTTAGTTGCTCACAAAATGTGCTGGAATCTTGAGTCTGGATGAGAAAGAAAGCCGTTTGTCAATTATCTATAAAACACCTTATGTGAAAAAAAATTTAAAAATAGTCTAGATAGGAATTAAGGAGGAAAAAGAGTATTTTCGTCAGCTAAATATTTTGATTTTTAATTGGTTATAATGTGCCTTTTCCTCCCTCTCTCATCTGCTATGGCTTTTCTTGTATTTCCACCATGTATCGTTTTAAAATGAAAGTTATTCCAGAAGAGAAGTGGAGATTCTCATGACTTTGCTGGGATTCAGTATCTGAATATTTTGCCCTTGTGCTCTGCTTATCAAGTTATTTCAAATTAGACCAAACGGGACTATACTGGGGAATAACACACACTGCAGTTTCTCTTCTGTTTTCATTAGGATTCAGACTTCTGCTGCTCTGAAATGTTTATACTTTTATGCAAAACCCAGAAGGATACATTTAAAAACCACAGTTAATTAGCTTAAAGAATGATTTTTCCTTAATTAGCTCAATGCATGAAGCATGCTAAATGAAATCCTTTACAGAAATTCATTAGTGAAGTACAGTAGAGCTCCTTATTATGTAAGAAGAGCAATATAAAGTAATTAAATACAACAGAATGAATAATAACAAAAAGGAATGCAAAGTTATTTTGCTGGCCAATACTCAAAAACTTTCTTCTAAACTTGCACTGTAGACAAATGAAAGCAATCTGGGCAATTGTCGGGAAGATCTTTACAGCACATTGTATCTGGTACACCAGGCAGTTTGGCTACAGCCATTCAAAATAAAACACAATCACACTTCAGTATGACCTTGAAAACAGAAAAACCATAACAGGGGCAGACTCTCTCTTACATGCACCAAAACCCCATGCTCACAGAAGCCTGTGTGGGACAAGAGCCTGTCTTTTTCAGGGCCAACAGAGACATTTTCCATATGGATGGGAAGATGCAGCCCAACCTGCTGCCATGAATCTATGTGCCTAGATGTCTGGGTGGAGTTCACGATCTGCAGGCTTCACACATACACCACCCTATACACTGATCTCTTCAGTCAGTCAAATCTTTCAAATACTACTTATACATGGTATATTGCACCTTCTCATTGAAGTCGATCAGCCTCTTGCATAACCATCTGTATTCATGGAGATGTGCATATTGTCTCCAAAGCCCAGTTTAGTGGCAAGTACTATCACCACAAAGCAGAGCTGAGCCCTGCACCTTTAATTGTAGTTTATACTGAAATTATGGGCAAATTCACATATTTTTTGACTATTGAACAAGTTAGAGGATAGAAGCTCTTATTCATTAACTCAGCGGTTGTCAACCGGGGGTACTTGGAAAGGAGCTAGGGGATAGGCATGGGTGGGCAGGGACAGAATGCCACCACCCGCCACTCCACACCGCCGCCTACCAGGAGGAGGGCCAGGGTGAGGTAAAGAGCGAGGGCAGCAGCTCCCTTCTGGGAATGCATAGGCATTGCCCAGCCAGCCAGACATGGAGGGGGAGCTCGCTTGCATGTGGCATCTGCTGCTGCTATCCACCACCCTGCACTGCTGCCATTTGCAAGCCCCCCACCTCTGCTCCACATCTGGCTGCTGCCAGCCCCCTCTCTGTGTCCAGCCGCCACCACCCCACCGCCCTCACTCTGCCAAAAGTATATCCAGAAGTACACTCCTTTAAAAAGGTTGAAAACCCATGCATTATCTTATTCATGTTATCTGCTTAAAACTTGCTATTTTAAACATTACCTCTTTTTTTCGGTCCCCTGAAATTTTTTCTCCTGGAAATGGAATAAGTGTCAATGACACTTGAGTATAAGATGCACCAAGCTTGTAAACATAATATTTGCACCAGAAAAACACAGTGCATATTGTTATATAGGATACTTAATAACATTTTGAAATCTAATATCAAATGCAGCTCAAATTGAGTTTAGAGCAATAAAAGTAGGATGGCTACTTTTATGGAATGATTTGTAAGGAGTTATAGAAAAACAAAACACCATTTTTTTTTTTTTTTAGTGCTGCTTTCTTATAGATATCTTGGAATAATGTTATGAAGTCTTGATTGATGCCCTGTAATTGTCCTTTTATGGATGATCTATTTTTGTTTGATGTATATAACTGTATTAGTATAAGCAAAGATTCTTGCAAAAACAAACCGATGCAAGGTTATATTATTATTTCCCTTTCAAATACATTATTTCTCTGAATGAAAGTTTAAAAAAATATAAAAGCCTTGTTTATGGCTTTCAAAGCTATTTTCTGATTAATAGCATTTAATAAAGAAGGTTATCAGATATGATTTGGTAATATTATGTATTGCCAGACATTGAGTGGTAATATTTTCAATGTGCGGGGAGTTAAACATTTTCAGTGCATCTCCATGAGTGAACATAGGAGTATTATCCAGCATGACTAATATCAAAATCTGTCTTAATATTGTATTTGCTATGGGGAGAATATTGTAACAAATTAATGACTGATTTTCCTTTTTGCATCGTATGGTTTCTCTTTTGCTCTCCTCTGGATATTATCACTTAATACAAAAGGATTTCACATTTACATCATTTATGCCATCTCACTCTCATGTACCTTGTATGTGCGGCTTGTGTGCCCCAAACACCTATTATAGGACTGTTTTAGAGGGTTTTGAAAATATTTATAGGAACTGTTTTCTATATTCCTCGGCCCATAAAGCCAGGTGTCCTAGCCACTGTGAGCCCGCATGTACTCAGAGGGAGCCATAAAAATCTGTAAAAATGATCTTGCATAACCCTTCTATTCCTAAAATATAACTGAAGTATAATATCTTGGACCTGTCCAGCATTAGTAGTGACTGCTACACTTTCCCTTGGGGAGCTGGAAATATCCCGCTTCTGGCCCTGCAGGGTTGCAAAATATTGGACTTTAAGAGAATGACATTTTTATGTATAATAAAACTGTCACTGGATGAGGACTGAATCTTACCTGTCTTGGGCCTCAGGCAGGTGTAATTTTTAGGTGGAAAATTCCATGCTTGAAGGGAGAAGGAAGCATTTCTGTGGTTGATTTGAACAAAAAAGTCAGCTGCATGTCAGCTGCTTGGAGAATATGATATTTTAGAATAAGTCCTGGAGAGAAGGATTAGTGGGCAGAGAGAAAGTGAGGAAGTCCAACATGAACCACTCTACTGCTCTTTATCACTTGGCCATTATATATGCTGTAGATAAAAAATGAATTTAAAAAATCCTCTCTGACCAAAAAAGAGTATTAAGGTTGCCAACTGAAACACTCAACAAGTAGGAAATGCAAGAATGAATGTTGCCTGTGCAACCTAAGTTCAGGCCCTTGTGGGCTTGTGGTTTGAATGATGCATTTTTTAATCACAGGATCACACACTATTTTGTCCAGAGGACCTTAGCCTCATCAAATGCACAGGATGAATAATGCTTATTTTATAAGCAGTTTTTTGGTATTTTGTTTTATCCTCAGAGTTGTGCATGTGGCCTCAGGCCTTATTTACTGCACACTATTCACACCCTGCTTTGAAGGCAGAATTATTAGTCCCCACTTGTTTTTCTTTTGATATCCATAACCACCACATCTGAGTATGTCAAAGTATTAACTACTCTGAACAGCAGCTTTAGGGGGTAAACAGTTATCGGAAGACCATAAAAATTAAGATTAAAAGTATCAGCTACATTTTGGGTCTTAAGTTAAGACATCCAAGACCTGATCTTTCAGAACAATTTACTATATATTGCACTTAACATGTTTAAAGCAGCTTTTGAACCCTATACCTATGATTCATACTAGGGGTGTGCAAAGTGGTCCCTATTTGATTTGGATTCAGCCTGAATCAGGGACAGTGATTCGATTTGTTGATTCAGATCACTGTCCCTGATTCAATTCAGCTGAATCCGAATCTGAAGATTCGATGCTGATTTAGAGAATCAGCAATTCAGGGAATCAGTGATTCAGACACAGACACAGCTTTAAAAGTTTCTTCTACATACCCTGAGGTACCAGGCACAGCTAGTGAATGCTGCGATGCTGGGGCAGATAGAGTGTCCCACAGGAGTGTGGGGGGGGCCTTCTACATGCTCGGCAGCGAACTTGGAAGTGGACCAGAAATACTTCTGGTCCACTTCTGGGTCTGCTGGGAGTGTGCTGTGGCCCCCCTCCTGCGCCTCCCTGGCTCAGTGATCAGCCATGGGGGGACCCTGGGTGCCCCCCCCCCGACCCAGGAGGCACCAGTCTCTGAGCCAGGTGGGCACGGAGGAGGCCCCCCTGCACACTCCCTGGTGGACCCAGAAGTGCTTCTGGTCCACTTCCGGGTCTGCTGCCAGGCACGCTGGGGAGCCCCCATGCTTCTGTGGGATGCTCCATGTGCCCTAGCATTGCAACATTCACAAGCCACCTGCTACCTTGAAGTATTTAGAAAAAACATTTAAAGCTGTCTCTATGTCCGAATCTCTGAATCTTTCCGAATCTCTCTAAATCAATTGGGAAGGTTCCATTGTGATTCAGAGAGATTAAAGGGTCCTCTGATTCGATTTGGATTCAGAGACTTGGCCACTAAATCGGGCCAAATCTCCGCTGAATCGAATCAGGGACTGAAG